TGTTGGCTGTTGTTGAGTTCTTTTATAATAAAGGTAGTGTCAGCCCTAACCGGTTTGGCTCAGTATATAGAGCATTGGCCTGCGGACTAAAGGGTCCCAGGTTCGATTCTGATCAAGGGCATGTACCTTGGTTGCGAGCACATCCCCAGTAGGAGGTGTGCAGGAGGCAGCTGATTGATGTTTCTCTCTCATCGATGTTTCTAACTCGCTATCTCTCTTCCTTCCTCTCTGTAGAAATCAATAAAATATATTTTTAAAAAAAGGTAGTATCACATGCCCTGGTTGTGTTCTTTAGATGTGGTGGTAAAGCTCTTGGGAATCTTTAGGGTGCTGTGTGACATGCCTATTTGTATCCCCTGGACAGGTGTATGATGGATACTGATGATGAGGTCCGAGACAGAGCTACTTTCTATCTGAATGTGCTGCAGCAGAAGCAGATGGCATTGAATGCTACATATATCTTCAATGGTCAGTGAGAGCCACGGATGTAGACAACTATACTTTTGGTATCTTGGAAGCATGTCTTAAGATGATTTGCATATGAGCTGACTTTACTAGGCAAAATGCTTCTTTTATGTTTTTGACTGCACTTCCATTTCTAGGGAAATCTAAAGTATGTAAAAGCCCAAAGAATATTGCTTGCTCCTGATCCTTTTTGAGCTCATTCTTGAATGGGTTTACCTTTTCTCCCTTTTCTTACGCTACTAGAGGCTTGGTGCATGAAATTTGTGCACTGGGGTTGGGAGGTGTCCCTCAGCCCAGCCTGCATCCTCTTGCAGTCTGGGAGCCCTCAGGGGATGTCCAACTACTGGCTTAGGCCATTCCCTGGGGTTGGGCCTAAGCTGGCAGTCGGACATCCCTCTTGCAGTCTGGGAGCCCTCGCTCCTTACTGCCTGCTCACTGCTCCTTAGTGCTGCCATGGAGGCGGAAGAGGCTCCTGCCACTGTGCTCACCAGCCATGAGCCCGACTTCTGGTTTAGCGGCACTCTCTCTGTGTGAGTGCACTGACCACCAGGGGGCAGCTCCTGCATTAAGCGTCTGCCCCCTGATGGTCAGTCCACATCATAGTGACCCGTAGTTCTGGTCATTCTGCCATAATGGTCACTTAGGCTTTTATTATATAGATCATTGTTCCCACATGGCTAAGTTGCTCTATTTTATGGAAGGTACTTATATTTTGTTGAAAATGTTTATGCTCTGCTCCCATGCTTCCTTGAATGAAATTATAAGAAAGTTTTATATAATAGCCTTTACTTTTAATTTTTTATGTTATAAAGTCTGTGGTTATATTTTCCCCTCCTTCAGAAAGAGTAGATTACACAGTATAAATCTGGGCCTATCTGGATCCTAGTATTGGCAAGAAGTTATAATGCTGAGATTTCTCTGTTTCATAGGTCTGACAGTGTCTATACCAGGGATGGAAAAAGCTTTACATCAGTATACATTAGAGCCTTCAGAAAAGCCCTTTGACATGAAATCTATTCCTCTTGCTATGGCTCCTGCCTTTGAACAGAAAGCAGGTAATGGGACCACTTCATTCTTTAGTGTTTCTATGTTTAAGTAGTGTTATTAGCATATTTTCTCTAATACATCCTTAGTTTGCTTAATTGTCACTCTGTATTTCTAAATCTTTTTAGAAGTATGGTGGATGATGTTTTTAATTAGGTTTTAAATTATTTTCCTGGTTTTCACATAAAAGCTCAAATATGAAGTGTGACCAGATTGAAAGTTTTTCTTTTTCCATGTTTAGTATTGCAGAATCTGAAGTTAGCTGTCACTGTGTGTCTCAGAGCTGCAATTGTGCTGTCACCTCCTGTTTTTATTTTCTGAAGTTGGTAATTTCTTAATTTTACTATTGGAGGTTTGTCTTGAAAAAATGTATGGGACAAGATCATAAAAAAAATGTTCCCAAGGGATAGCTAACTATAAAATTAAGAAAGGAAGGAAGGAAGGAAAATGTTTAATGGTCAGACTGAGAAAGAATGATCTTAACTTTGAACCTTTTCAGTTTTTCTGTTGATACCATACAAGTAATTTTTCCTATTTGAATCATGAGAAGACTTGTTTTATAAATAGTTCCTTCTTTTGAGAATATTTTTTTGTACATTCTCGCCCATTTAAAGCAAATACTATATTTTAGGGCTTACTTTATTATATCACAAAATATGTTCACTAAGTAAATTTTAATTTGAACATCTCTCTAAAAAAAGGTGACAGAAGCCTACTGGTGTTTTTAGCAGTGGCTTATTTTATGTGTGTTAGATGCTTTTGTCCTGATGTCTTTCTGTCTGCATTTTCATCTTGATAATGGGAGGAAAGCTCACTTGATTGCTCATATCTGTCTTTTTAGAAATCACACTTGTGGCTACTAAGTCAGAGAAGTTGGCTCCTTCCAGGCAAGACATTTTCCAAGGTATGGTAAATTGATGGGTAGAAGTAATAGTCTGCACCCTAGGCATTATAAATATAATGAAGTGCACTACTTTCATTCAGTTTGATGAATTCCCAGTGCAGGAAATCTTTGTGTGGCTGAATATTTGTTGTTATAGGTTATAGTTGCTGTATAGGTTATAGTTGCTGGGGCTACCTGAAGTCCATGGAACATTACAATTGCCGAAGCTAATGTGCTAACTGGGAATGTTGTTCTTCATATCCTAGGTAACAGGGAACTCAAATTCTAAGAAATTAGGAATATAAGGTTTTTTTGCTTTTAGTAATTGAGTATATAAACTCTTAAAATATTAATTTATTAAAGCTTGGGGATATATCAGAGTTTAATTATTAGCTAGGTGATGGAAACTTAAAACATCATGAGCATCTAGAATAATGTCCTCCTAGATTATTCTCATTTTGGGTCATCTTCTCATTTTGTTTTCTTCCTTATTTTTTTTTCTTGATAGAACAATTGGCTGCTATTCCTGAGTTCATGAATCTGGGACCCTTGTTCAAGTCTTCTGAGCCTGTTCAGCTTACAGAAGCAGAGACCGAATACTTTGTTCGTTGTGTCAAGCACATGTTTACCAATCACATTGTGTTCCAGGTGAGATAAGTTCCCTACCCAGCCCCTATGGGAGCTTACTAGGCTTGGCGACCAGTATTAACTCCCCTGTAATTTGTGATTCTAGTAGTTCTTTTTATAGAGAAGGAAAGGAACTTAGCAGCATTTCTGGTTTTCCTTCCCATGGCTACAGAGATGCCTTCGTATGATGGGTTAAAAACTAAAAGGAATTAAAATAAAATATCTGGAAAAGTTTCACAACATAAAGTATAAGCTGCTAAAAAATAATCGTCATTTAACATAAGGGTAAAAGCTTAGCTTCTAAGAATCAATTGAAATCCATTAAACATCCGCTATCTTGTTTGGTAGAACTAAGTCACAGGAAAGAGAAAAAAACGAATGAATAATATAAACCCCAAAGCCTCAAGGATAAGGCCATCCCTGTTACCTAAAGAAAAACCTTAGGAGGAGACCTACAGTACTGTTTGGGGAGGAAAGGTATAGTGAATTCCAGAACTGAGTTATGGGCTATGGGTGGGAAGGAACAACTTGCTTGCAAACCGTTCTTATCCTTCATAATGTTTTTCTGTTTGCTGACTTTTCAGTTTGATTGTACCAACACTCTCAATGACCAGCTACTGGAGAAAGTGACAGTGCAAGTGGAACCATCAGATTCCTATGAAGTGCTGTGTTGTATCCCAGTCCCCAGCCTCACTTATAATCAACCAGGAATATGTTACACTCTTGTCCGTTTGCCTGATGATGACTCTTCAGCAGGTACTAACCCGCAGAGGGGAAGAGACACTTACATGATTAAGAATGCATTACCACTTGAGCTCTTAAATGTCTGGACACATGTTTGGGGGTCAAGAATATGGTTCTTTTCAAGAATTAAATGTAATGATAGTGATGATGTATTTATAGTTATATAATTAGTGCTGCAGAAATATTATTTATAACTAAATCTCTAAGTAGAATTTGCTGGACATTTAATCTTAAAAAAGAAACTGAATGTGTATAGGGGTAGCCCCAGAAGGAATTCAGGCTTTCTGGTAGAACAGTGTAACCACTGATGAGGGTTCATCTGTCCGATGTCTCCTGTAAGGAGCACGACCCACTTCTCCCTGGAGTTTCTTTCCAGGACATGGTAAGGGCTTTTTATTAGTAGATCCATGGCATTTTAAAATATATTGTCTTTGAGGGTCTGCCAGCGGTTGCCAACCTTTCGGACCACCGATTGGCGACCGCTGCTATACCATAGTGCTGGCATCTGAGAGTATGTCTCAGCCCAGTAAATGCCTTATCAACATTTGTGTATCCACATGGGAGAAAGGCTTTGTAATTCTTTCCTTGATTCATGTGGAGTCTGGGTAGGAGTGGGGAGGGTAGCTTCTAGTGCCTATAATAGTATTTACAGGTTCAGGGACTTGAGGTCTTCTGACCTACCTCTTGTGAATGTCTAGTGTGTGTTGTACTTGATATATTTTCCCACCTGAGTGCTTCTTCTCTTTCCATATTCACTAAGGAGTATTCACAATGGTTACCTGGTTTTCACAGAAATAAGCACACACATTGCATTTATGTTTTGAAAAACTTTTATTAGTATTACTGGAAAAACATTTATTACTTCTAGTACAGGAAAATACAATTTTTGCTACTAGTACAGGAAAACAATTTTTACTACTGATACAGGGAAAAAATTTTACTAGTACAGGAATAAAACAGATAATAGTTAACAAATATTGAGGAAGGTACAGAGTTACAAGAAATCGTAAAAGTACTAGTGAATTGTTATCTCTGGTCATCATTCAGTTACATTAGGGGCTTAACCTGCCTCCTTTTAGCCCCTTTCCAAGCTCCCTTTTTAGATGTTGTTTCTGGGAACCCCTGCCCAATCATATCTGTGTTGGATGATAGACCAGGCTACTCACTCTAGCACGAGGTAGATTCAAATTGGCACTGTTGCGGGGTCTGAATCCCAGGTTGTTCCCTCTGACCCCTGGGTGCAGCCACCCTGGATCCATAACCCGCTGGGTTAGGAAGGCACTTTCCTATCTGGCCTCTAGGATTTCTCCTTCAAGCTTGAGGCCGTCCAACTTTAACCTTTCATTACCTCCCTTATCCCTTAATGAGGTTTCTCTTGTTCCATTCCCTTTTAGCTTCACTTTCTCTCCTGGTCTATTCTCCTCTAGTTAGACTTTTCTAAAGTATGTCCACCAGCCAGAAACGTAGCTGACTGTATCTTATGTAAAGGTAGTTTTATTTACTCTTGTTCCAAACCAGTATCTGGGCCCAGTCTTAAAGTAGCCCCGTGGCTTCCGCCACCATCCTGGGATAATCTGCACTTTTATCAGTTTTCTCAAGTGGCCCTCTCTACTTGTTTTATAATTCTTCCTTCTGTGGTGCTTCTCACCAAGTTTCTGCTTTTTTAAGAAAAGCCATTACTTCGCCACTTAATTTTAAAGGGAAGCAAAATGCTTGAACCCATTGAATAATCAAGCTTTTCCCAAGTGAGAACACTAGCTCTTCCCTTTCCAGGTTCACTTGGATAACTGATAACTTAGGTGCCTCACAGACCCCAGTGAATGTATTAACAGAAGACAGTAAATACAGTTTTACAATATCAAAATACATAAGACAACAGTATTGAAATTACAGCAATCACATATAGTTCAGGAGGAAATAACAACAACAACAACACCAACAACAACAACAATAGAAACTTTTATACTAAGAGAGTAGGTACAGGGGAGGTTTTCTGACCCCTCTGTAGTGAGGGGTTAATTTCTTTTTAAAAAAGTGTATTTTACAAATTAGCCCAGAGGTTTCAACCTTTGATCTGCTGGCTTCAGGCTCGTTTGCTTAATGCTTTGTTCATATTTTATTAATAAAAATTTGGCATTTGGAGAAATTTTTTTTCCTATTAAATTCAAAGGGTTTGCTGACTTGGTGCTAAAAGTCAGTTATAAACATTTGTCATCTCATCTTGGAGAAAAGTCTCAGCACTTGGACTTTTCAAACTGCTTTATATTTGACCCATCATCTACCTGCTTCAAAGCAAATTCCTTTCTATTCCTTTGTTTTTGTCAGAAATTCTAAAATTTTTAATCTATGGCCAATCCAAAGTCTTTGCTGTACAATGAATAGAAGTAAAATACCAGGACATAGATGGTAGTAAAAGTCTTTTACCCATTCCTTCTTTTTCCCATTGCAAATATTCCAAATCACCTCTACTTTGTCTCATCTCAGAAAATATATTTTCCTTATAATCACAAGGGGAAAACATAAATTATATAGATCATGATTTCCTTCAACTTGAAAATTATATAGCATAGTAGAAAGGAATATAGGTTTTAGAGCTACACAAATTGGGATTTGAATTCTGACTCTGATCCATATAGACTGTGTAACCATGGACAAGCTATTTGATCTCTGTAAGCCTTTCAGGATTGTTGAAAGGATGAAATATCAATAATTAAGGTCGTTACCATAGTGCCAGGCATGTAGTAAATACTCAATAAACAGAAGCTATTTTTGTTTCAATTCTGGAACTATCTACTTTCTTCCTTTATCCTCTTGAAAAAGTAAGTCTTCCACAGTTGAAGAGACACACACCCTCTAACCTCCTCCAAAAAATTATTCAATTATTCTTGTCTTTGCTGTATCTTTAAACTTTCCCATTCTCCCTTATTTTATAACTGTACAAAAAAATCTACACCGTCTGAAAAATGTGCTTTAACCCAACATCAAGATAACACCATAACTCCTTCCCTCAATTTATGGGCAATTTGTGAAAAGATTAAGTCTCAATTCAATTAGTCCTACTTTTATATTCTAGCCTCTAACAATTACTGTTTTAATCAAAAATTTTAAGAAAAGCCTTTCAGGCAGCATTCTTTCTTGGCAACCTTTCTCATTCAGAAACTTTCTTTCTTCTGAATAGCTATTGCATCAGTAACAGCAAATTTAAATAACTCATTTAAAAAGTCTTCAATAGAGAATATACATACTAACAACAAATTTCATAGTATATCAATATGAGTTGCTTTTCTCTGTTTTTCATTAGGGATGCTGCCTCCCAATTAAAAATTCATAACTCTTTCATATATACTTCAGTTCTCGACTTTCTGCCTACACTTCTTTAAACCTCTACCTTAATTTGAGCTAACATAGGAATGTGAAGGACGCTGAATTCTTTTCTGAACCTGTAGTTTCTCTTCATTATTTGTTGTTCAGGTTTAACCATATTAACTCCTGACACTCGGTATTAAATCTACAACTTAAATTAAGTAATTGAACTCAGAATATTTTTTTTCCTTAGACTCATATTCATCTTCTCACTGGGATCCATATTAATGAACCTTGATAAAATTTACATTCTTTATAGCTAAAGCACATAATTTGAATTTTTACTTAGATGATAAAAAGGATAAAACGTTACATTTATCACCACTTGCGCTGCCTTTATAACTAGAATTTGTATCAGTCTAGCCTTATCTAAGTATTCCTCCAATATGACCCATTATGAGACTGAACAAGATTCCTAGATTTAAAGCTCATTATTCACCTTTCCATTCATCTTGTAACCAATCAGCCTTTCATCAAACACAATGGAAATTCTAAAATTCCCTCTATACATTCAACCTGTCACCATTTGGCCTTATTATTGACCCTGTACCTGTTACCTCCTAGCTTTAGACAATGTCACTCAGACTTCAACTGAACAGGTGGGTATTGCATCCCTCCTCTTTCTCACACAGCAGTCATATCTCTACAAGATGCAAATTCATCAGTGTAGTCTGCCAACACAGCCAGGCATTCTTGCTGCCATAACAGACCATCAAGTACTCCCTTCTCACAACAGCACACACATCAAGAGTCCATAGCTACAGGACCGAACCTTGGTGCTCTGCTCCCTACTCACTCAAGGTGAATCCCAGGGTGCCACCCTCTATCCTTCCAGGTGATTTCTCAGCTACATCCCTTTGCTTGCTTTGCTGTCTGCCTGGTCCAGGGTCCCTTAACCCCATTCTGACTTTCTTGAGTCTCATGACTCCACCTCCTCATCTGCTCATGCGTCGCCTCTCTGCCCAGCTCTCCTCTCTGCCCCTTCCACCCAGTGATTCTCACCCGAAGGTGCATGACCCCCCAAAGGAGGCCTATCAGCAACATCTTTGGGGTGTGTTTTTGTGTTTTCTTTTGATTTTTTTTGGTTTTGTTGTTTCAAGCAGTGTACTGCTCCCCCTTCAGATGGTGTGATAGGCCTCCCTGGGGGGTCGTGCCCACCCCCCCCTCGGGGGAAACTCACCCCCCCCACCCCCGGGAAGAATCACTGCTGTGGAAGCCCAACCTGACTCCTGGGCTGCACTCAACCTTGGGCCTCTAGCCTTCTACTGGTTGCCATTGACTCATTTTCCTGAAAGATCCCAGCGTTCGCACCATTCTCTCACTGTCCTGACACTGTCCTCCTGCAACTACCCGACTCCCTTCCAACCCCAATCTGCAAAACACCATTATTTATCTGACGCCACCACCACAATTCCACAATTCCAAAACACACACACACACACACACACACTCACCCACGCGTAAGCTACTCCTTCCTCCCTACCTTTATGACTCTGGTGCCTTGTGGAAGTACCTTTGTCCCAGGACCAGGACGTTCTCAGCTCTTGCTATTCTTCCTGTTCTCGATGCTATCCCTCTTCTCACTCCCCTGGCATGATCCTTCCCCAGAGCCCCTGTGGTCCTCTCAAGTGCTGGTGTGTTTTCCGCCAACCAGACTTTTGCCTTCCCCCTATCCTGCGGCTACTCTCCAGTGGGCTCTCTGGGTGGATTCCCTGGTCTTGCCCTCCTGCTCTTTAACCCGTCCTCATCATGCCCACCACTTGACAAGGAATCAGCCCACAATCTCCATTAAAGGAGTTGGGTATTCCCGTGCATGGAGCTTGGCTCCCTTCACCCAACCCCATCCGAAATCCCATGGATCTTAAGCCTGTCCTCCTCTCCAACCCTGGCACACCAGAAATGCCTCCAGACTCGACCCCAGATCCCACCTCGCCCTGCGTCCATGCTCCACCCTCTGCTTGACCCTCAGTGTCCCATCCTGCTTCCCCTATGACTTGCTAGTCAGATGAAGGATTGATTGGTCCTTCCATGACCTGTACTCGTCCCTTCACTTACTATCCTCCTTCCCCCATTGCCTGCTCTCTCATCCCCAAGAGGGGTCTACTGACTCCATCTGCTGTCCCGTGTTCCTTACCTTTGTGGGTCCACCATTGTAGATGGTGGTGGCTTACCTGGCCTTCTCTGTAACCTCACCTCCTCTCGCCTAGCCCTGCGCTGACAGGGTTGTCCCCAGGCTTTTCCATGGGCCACTTCTCCACACCTCATCCTGCTCTGACCTCATCCCACCAGGCCGGCATTGCACTTTGGCCTTACCCACTCTGTGATCTTCACCCTGCGTGGGCTCCTTCCCGCCCTTGAGTCACCCATGGTAGGAAAGTACCTGCCTTCTGCTAGTCGCCACCCAGCTTTCGTTCTTTACCATTCTTTGGGTGCAGTTCGATCGTCCCCTGTCCTTTCTCACTCTTCTGTGCCCTTGGAATCTGGCCCCTCTACTACACTCTTCCACAGTCCGAATGTGCTCACCTGATGTCCTACCTCTTGGGCCTGGGTTCATCATCTTTCCTGCTTTGCTTCTCTACTGCATACGTAGCAAGAAAACTGTCCTTCCTGAGCCAGGTGACATTTCTGCAGACACAGACTGTACACCTCCTGGCTGATGCCCACGGTGCTCTGTGTGCTCCTTACCTCATTCCTCACCTTCTTCACACCCCACTGCCGTCTCCTTGGCCTTCATGTACTCTCCTGCATCTGCCCGCTTGCCTACGCCCTCTACTCACAGCCTGTGAACCTGGACTGTGATTTCCTCCAGGGACACGCAAACCTCGTTACTGGTAACCTTTCCTGTTTCCTTTGGGACCCCTTTGTTGCACATTCTTGGGGCACAGCCCTTGGGGAGCCTCGTCCTTTGATTCCCCTACCTCTTCCTCATCAGTCTGGGTCAGTGGTTCCCACCGTTCACAGTGGGGCAATTTGGATTTAACGGGGGCGATTTCAAACGAGTTGATAAGAGTGAATTTCTTGTATTTCTTAAGCTTCTAGGAGCTTCATATACTAGTACAGTAGAGAGAGATCTTTTGTGACATATGTATGCACTTCAGTTCTCTGTTATAGGTTTCGTTTTTATTTTTTTTGTTTTTTTTATCGTTAAAGTCTTACAAATACTAGTACATCTGTGTCCTTTTTTCCCCCCAATTGACCTACCCCCAGCCTCCCCTACCCCCCGGCATCTGTTATATGTTTAAAAGTTTATTTGCTATTTTTTGATATCACTTCAATTGTTATTTTTGGGCAATTTCTGGGTTATTTCTTCCTCAGTATTTCAACTGTCCTGTTGTCCTTTTATTTTTCTCTTTCATGGATGCCATCTTCTTTGGAAGCTTGTTTAGACCAAGTTAGTGGCCTTTTAGGTGTCCTCCACATGAATCGGAGTTCACTTTTTGAATAATGGGAATTATATGCCACGGGCCAGGGGAAGCATCAGGATTTTAGAGATGCTTAGGTGGGGCATGGGCAAAAAAAGGTTGGGAGCCACTGCTCTGGGTCTTTGGCCTTCAGCCCTCCCTCTTGCCCCTGTGCCTGCTAAGCCATGCCTGACACCTTGGTGCTCAGTCTCGCTCTGCACAGAGCCCTGGGTCTAGCTGTCCGCCCCTCTTCTCTCCTTCCTCTGCCAGCCATCGTCTGTCTGCCAGATCATCTCCTGTCCCAGCTGGGCCTTGCTTCTGCTCTACCGCCCTTCAGGTGCTCTCTGATCACATCAGTCCACCCTACATTTCCCCGTTGGTCACTCCTGTCTCCCTCAGCCCTCCTCCTCAAGAGGCCTCAGTTCCAGGACCAAACCTTGGTGCTCTGCTCCCTACTCACTCAAGGTGAATCCCAGGGTGCCACCCTCTGTCCTTCCAGGTGATTTCTCAGCTACATCCCTTTGCTTGCTTTGCTGTCTGCCTGGTCCAGGGTCCCTTAACCCCATTCTGACCTTCTTGAGTCTCATGCCTCCACCTCCTCATCTGCTCATGCTTCGCCTCTCTGCCCAGCTCTCCTCTCTGCCCCTTCCACCCAGTGATTCTCACCCGAGGGTGCATGACCCCCCATGGAGGCCTATCAGCAACATCTTTGGGGTGTGTTTTTGTGTTTTCTTTTGATTTTTTTTGGTTTTGTTGTTTCAAGCAGTGTACTGCTCCCCCTTCAGATGGTGTGATAGGCCTCCCTTGGGGGTCGTGCCCACCCCCCCCTCGGGTGAAACTCACCCCCCCGACCCCCGGGAAGAATCACTGCTGTGGAAGCCCAACCTGACTCCTGGGCTGCACTCAACCTTGGGCCTCTAGCCTTCTACTGGTTGCCATTGACACATTTTCCTGAAAGATCCCAGCGTTCGCACCATTCTCTCACTGTCCTGACACTGTCCTCCTGCAACTACCCGACTCCCTTCCAACCCCAATCTGCAAAACACCATTATTTATCTGACGCCACCACCACAATTCCAAAACACACACACACACACACACACACACACACACACACACACTCACCCATGCGTAAGCTACTCCTTCCTCCCTACCTTTATGACTCTGGTGCCTTGTGGAAGTACCTTTGTCCCAGGACCAGGACGTTCTCAGCTCTTGCTATTCTTCCTGTTCTCGATGCTATCCCTCTTCTCACTCCCCTGGCATGATCCTTCCCCAGAGCCCCTGTGGTCCTCTCAAGTGCTGGTGTGTTTTCCGCCAACCAGACTTTTGCCTTCCCCCTATCCTGCGGCTACTCTCCAGTGGGCTCTCTGGGTGGATTCCCTGGTCTTGCCCTCCTGCTCTTTAACCCGTCCTCATCATGCCCACCACTTGACAAGGAATCAGCCCACAATCTCCATTAAAGGAGTTGGGTATTCCCGTGCATGGAGCTTGGCTCCCTTCACCCAACCCCATCCGAAATCCCATGGATCTTAAGCCTGTCCTCTTCTCCAACCCTGGCACACCAGAAATGCCTCCAGACTCGACCCCAGATCCCACCTCGCCCTGCGTCCATGCTCCACCCTCTGCTTGACCCTCAGTGTCCCATCCTGCTTCCCCTATGACTTGCTAGTCAGATGAAGGATTGATTGGTCCTTCCATGACCTGTACTCGTCCCTTCACTTACTATCCTCCTTCCCCCATTGCCTGCTCTCTCATCCCCAAGAGGGGTCTACTGACTCCATCTGCTGTCCCGTGTTCCTTACCTTTGTGGGTCCACCATTGTAGATGGTGGTGGCTTACCTGGCCTTCTCTGTAACCTCACCTCCTCTCGCCTAGCCCTGCGCTGACAGGGTTGTCCCCAGGCTTTTCCATGGGCCACTTCTCCACACCTCATCCTGCTGACCTCATCCCACCAGGCCAGCATTGCACTTTGGCCTTACCCACTCTGTGATCTTCACCCTGCGTGGGCTCCTTCCCGCCCTTGAGTCACCCATGGTAGGAAAGTACCTGCCTTCTGCTAGTCGCCACCCAGCTTTCGTTCTTTACCATTCTTTGGGTGCAGTTCGATCGTCCCCTGTCCTTTCTCACTCTTCTGTGCCCTTGGAATCTGGCTCCTCTACTACACTCTTCCACAGTCCGAATGTGCTCACCTGATGTCCTACCTCTTGGGCCTGGGTTCATCATCTTTCCTGCTTTGCTTCTCTACTGCATACGTAGCAAGAAAACTGTCCTTCCTGAGCCAGGTGACATTTCTGCAGCCACCGACTGTACACCTCCTGGCTGATGCCCACGGTGCTCTGTGTGCTCCTTACCTCATTCCTCACCTTCTTCACACCCCACTGCCGTCTCCTTGGCCTTCATGTACTCTCCTGCATCTGCCCGCTTGCCTACGCCCTCTACTCACAGCCTGTGAACCTGGACTGTGATTTCCTCCAGGGACACGCAAACCTCGTTACTGGTAACCTTTCCTGTTTCCTTTGGGACCCCTTTGTTGCACATTCTTGGGGCACAGCCCTTGGGGAGAGTCTTCCTCTGATTCCCCTACCTCTTCCTCATCATCAGTCTGGGTCAGTGGTTCCCACCGTTCACAGTGGGGCAATTTGGATTTAACGGGGGTGATTTTAAAAGAGTTGATAAGAGTGCATTTCTTGTATTTCTTAAGCTTCTAGGAGCTTCATATACTAGTACAGTAGAGAGAGATCTTTTGTGACATATGTATGCACTTCAGTTCTCTGTTATAGGTACGTTTTTATTTTTTTTGTTTTTTTTATCGTTTAAAGTCTTACAAATACTAGTACATCTGTGTCCTTTTTCCCCCCAATTGACCTACCCCCAGCCTCCCCTACCCCCCGGCATCTGTTATATGTTTAAAAGTTTATTTGCTATTTTTTGATATCACTTCAATTGTTATTTTTGGGCAATTTCTGGGTTATTTCTTCCTCAGTATCTCAACTGTCCTGTTGTTCTTTTATTTTTCTCTTTCATGGATGCCATCTTCTTTGGAAGCTTGTTTAGACCAAGTTAGTGGCCTTTTAGGTGTCCTCCACATGAATCGGAGTTCACTTTTTGAATAATGGGAATTATATGCCACGGGCCGGGGGAAGCATCAGGATTTTAGAGATGCTTAGGTGGGGCATGGGCAAAAAAAGGTTGGGAGCCACTGCTCTGGGTCTTTGGCCTTCAGCCCTCCCTCTTGCCCCTGTGCCTGCTAAGCCATGCCTGACACCTTGGTGCTCAGTCTCGCTCTGCACAGAGCCCTGGGTCTAGCTGTCCGCCCCTCTTCTCTCCTTCCTCTGCCAGCCATCGTCTGTCTGCCAGATCATCTCCTGTCCCAGCTGGGCCTTGCTTCTGCTCTACCGCCCTTCAGGTGCTCTCTGATCACATCAGTCCACCCTACATTTCCCCGTTGGTCACTCCTGTCTCCGTCAGCCCTCCTCCTCAAGAGGCCTCAGTTCCAGGACCAAACCTTGGTGCTCTGCTCCCTACTCACTCAAGGTGAATCCCAGGGTGCCACCCTCTGTCCTTCCAGGTGATTTCTCAGCTACATCCCTTTGCTTGCTTTGCTGTCTGCCTGGTCCAGGGTCCCTTAACCCCATTCTGACCTTCTTGAGTCTCATGCCTCCACCTCCTCATCTGCTCATGCTTCGCCTCTCTGCCCAGCTCTCCTCTCTGCCCCTTCCACCCAGTGATTCTCACCCGAGGGTGCATGACCCCCCATGGAGGCCTATCAGCAACATCTTTGGGGTGTGTTTTTGTGTTTTCTTTTGATTTTTTTTGGTTTTGTTGTTTCAAGCAGTGTACTGCTCCCCCTTCAGATGGTGTGATAGGCCTCCCTTGGGGGTCGTGCCCACCCCCCCCTCGGGTGAAACTCACCCCCCCCACCCCCGGGAAGAATCACTGCTGTGGAAGCCCAACCTGACTCCTGGGCTGCACTCACCCTTGGGCCTTTAGCCTTCTACTGGTTGCCATTGACACATTTTCCTGAAAGATCCCAGCGTTCGCACCATTCTCTCACTGTCCTGACACTGTCCTCCTGCAACTACCCGACTCCCTTCCAACCCCAATCTGCAAAACACCATTATTTATCTGACGCCACCACCACAATTCCAAAACACACACACACACACACGCACACACTCACCCACGCGTAAGCTAGTCCTTCCTCCCTACCTTTATGACTCTGGTGCCTTGTGGAAGTACCTTTGTCCCAGGCCCAGGACGTTCTCAGCTCTTGCTATTCTTCCTGTTCTCGATGCTATCCCTCTTCTCACTCCCCTGGCATGATCCTTCCCCAGAGCCCCTGTGGTCCTCTCAAGTGCTGGTGTGTTTTCCGCCAACCAGACTTTTGCCTTCCCCCTATCCTGCGGCTACTCTCCAGTGGGCTCTCTGGGTGGATTCCCTGGTCTTGCCCTCCTGCTCTTTAACTCGTCCTCATCATGCCCACCACTTGACAAGGAATCAGCCCACAATCTCCATTAAAGGAGTTGGGTATTCCCGTGCATGGAGCTTCGCTCCCTTCACCCAACCCCATCCGAAATCCCATGGATCTTAAGCCTGTCCTCCTCTCCACCCTGGCACACCAGAAATGCCTCCAGACTCGACCCCAGATCCCACCTCGCCCTGCGTCCATGCTCCACCCTCTGCTTGACCCTCAGTGTCCCATCCTGCTTCCCCTATGACTTGCTAGTCAGATGAAGGATTGATTGGTCCTTCCATGACCTGTACTCGTCCCTTCACTTACTATCCTCCTTCCCCCATTGCCTGCTCTCTCATCCCCAAGAGGGGTCTACTGACTCCATCTGCAGTCCCGTGTTCCTTACCTTTGTGGGTCCACCATTGTAGATGGTGGTGGCTTACCTGGCCTTCTCTGTAACCTCACCTCCTCTCGCCTAGCCCTGCGCTGACAGGGTTGTCCCCAGGCTTTTCCATGGGCCACTTCTCCACACCTCATCCTGCTCTGACCTCATCCCACCAGGCCGGCATTGCACTTTGGCCTTACCCACTCTGTGATCTTCACCCTGCGTGGGCTCCTTCCCGCCCTTGAGTCACCCATGGTAGGAAAGTACCTGCCTTCTGCTAGTCGCCACCCAGCTTTCGTTCTTTACCATTCTTTGGGTGCAGTTCGATCGTCCCCTGTCCTTTCTCACTCTTCTGTGCCCTTGGAATCTGGCCCCTCTACTACACTCTTCCACAGTCCGAATGTGCTCACCTGATGTCCTACCTCTTGGGCCTGGGTTCATCATCTTTCCTGCTTTGCTTCTCTACTGCATACGTAGCAAGAAAACTGTCCTTCCTGAGCCAGGTGACATTTCTGCAGCCACAGACTGTACACCTCCTGGCTGATGCCCACGGTGCTCTGTGTGCTCCTTACCTCATTCCTCACCTTCTTCACACCCCACTGCCATCTCCTTGGCCTTCATGTACTCTCCTGCATCTGCCCGCTTGCCTACGCCCTCTACTCACAGCCTGTGAACCTGGACTGTGATTTCCTCCAGGGACACGCAAACCTCGTTACTGGTAACCTTTCCTGTTTCCTTTGGGACCCCTTTGTTGCACATTCTTGGGGCACAGCCCTTGGGGAGCCTCTTCCTCTGATTCCCCTACCTCTTCCTCATCAGTCTGGGTCAGTGGTTCCCACCGTTCACAGTGGGGCAATTTGGATTTAACGGGGGCGATTTCAAACGAGTTGATAAGAGTGAATTTCTTGTATTTCTTAAGCTTCTAGGAGCTTCATATACTAGTACAGTAGAGAGAGATCTTTTGTGACATATGTATGCACTTCAGTTCTCTGTTATAGGTTTCGTTTTTATTTTTTTTGTTTTTTTTATCGTTTAAAGTCTTACAAATACTAGTACATCTGTGTCCTTCCCCCCCAATTGACCTACCCCCAGCCTCCCCTACCCCCCGGCATCTGTTATATGTTTAAAAGTTTATTTGCTATTTTTTGATATCACTTCAATTGTTATTTTTGGGCAATTTCTGGGTTATTTCTTCCTCAGTATTTCAACTGTCCTGTTGTCCTTTTATTTTTCTCTTTCATGGATGCCATCTTCTTTGGAAGCTTGTTTAGACCAAGTTAGTGGCCTTTTAGGTGTCCTCCACATGAATCGGAGTTCACTTTTTGAATAATGGGAATTATATGCCACGGGCCGGGGGAAGCATCAGGATTTTAGAGATGCTTAGGTGGGGCATGGGCAAAAAAAGGTTGGGAGCCACTGCTCTGGGTCTTTGGCCTTCAGCCCTCCCTCTTGCCCCTGTGCCTGCTAAGCCATGCCTGACACCTTGGTGCTCAGTCTCGCTCTGCACAGAGCCCTGGGTCTAGCTGTCCGCCCCTCTTCTCTCCTTCCTCTGCCAGCCATCGTCTGTCTGCCAGATCATCTCCTGTCCCAGCTGGGCCTTGCTTCTGCTCTACCGCCCTTCAGGTGCTCTCTGATCACATCAGTCCACCCTACATTTCCCCGTTGGTCACTCCTGTCTCCCTCAGCCCTCCTCCTCAAGAGGCCTCAGTTCCAGGACCAAACCTTGGTGCTCTGCTCCCTACTCACTCAAGGTGAATCCCAGGGTGCCACCCTCTGTCCTTCCAGGTGATTTCTCAGCTACATCCCTTTGCTTGCTTTGCTGTCTGCCTGGTCCAGGGTCCCTTAACCCCATTCTGACCTTCTTGAGTCTCATGCCTCCACCTCCTCATCTGCTCATGCTTCGCCTCTCTGCCCAGCTCTCCTCTCTGCCCCTTCCACCCAGTGATTCTCACCCGAGGGTGCATGACCCCCCATGGAGGCCTATCAGCAACATCTTTGGGGTGTGTTTTTGTGTTTTCTTTTGATTTTTTTGGTTTTGTTGTTTCAAGCAGTGTACTGCTCCCCCTTCAGATGGTGTGATAGGCCTCCCTTGGGGGTCGTGCCCACCCCCCCCTCGGGTGAAACTCACCCCCCCCACCCCCGGGAAGAATCACTGCTGTGGAAGCCCAACCTGACTCCTGGGCTGCACTCAACCTTGGGCCTCTAGCCTTCTACTGGTTGCCATTGACACATTTTCCTGAAAGATCCCAGCGTTCGCACCATTCTCTCACTGTCCTGACACTGTCCTCCTGCAACTACCCGACTCCCTTCCAACCCCAATCTGCAAAACACCATTATTTATCTGACGCCACCACCACAATTCCAAAACACACACACACACACACACACACTCACCCACGCGTAAGCTACTCCTTCCTCCCTACCTTTATGACTCTGGTGCCTTGTGGAAGTACCTTTGTCCCAGGACCAGGACGTTCTCAGCTCTTGCTATTCTTCCTGTTCTCGATGCTATCCCTCTTCTCACTCCCCTGGCATGATCCTTCCCCAGAGCCCCTGTGGTCCTCTCAAGTGCTGGTGTGTTTTCCGCCAACCAGACTTTTGCCTTCCCCCTATCCTGCGGCTACTCTCCAGTGGGCTCTCTGGGTGGATTCCCTGGTCTTGCCCTCCTGCTCTTTAACCCGTCCTCATCATGCCCACCACTTGACAAGGAATCAGCCCACAATCTCCATTAAAGGAGTTGGGTATTCCCGTGCATGGAGCTTGGCTCCCTTCACCCAACCCCATCCGAAATCCCATGGATCTTAAGCCTGTCCTCCTCTCCAACCCTGGCACACCAGAAATGCCTCCAGACTCGAACCCAGATCCCACCTCGCCCTGCGTCCATGCTCCACCCTCTGCTTGACCCTCAGTGTCCCATCCTGCTTCCCCTATGACTTGCTAGTCAGATGAAGGATTGATTGGTCCTTCCATGACCTGTACTCGTCCCTTCACTTACTATCCTCCTTCCCCCATTGCCTGCTCTCTCATCCCCAAGAGGGGTCTACTGACTCCATCTGCAGTCCCGTGTTCCTTACCTTTGTGGGTCCACCATTGTAGATGGTGGTGGCTTACCTGGCCTTCTCTGTAACCTCACCTCCTCTCGCCTAGCCCTGCGCTGACAGGGTTGTCCCCAGGCTTTTCCATGGGCCACTTCTCCACACCTCATCCTGCTCTGACCTCATCCCACCAGGCCGGCATTGCACTTTGGCCTTACCCACTCTGTGATCTTCACCCTGCGTGGGCTCCTTCCCGCCCTTGAGTCACCCATGGTAGGAAAGTACCTGCCTTCTGCTAGTCGCCACCCAGGTTTCGTTCTTTACCATTCTTTGGGTGCAGTTCGATCGTCCCCTGTCCTTTCTCACTCTTCTGTGCCCTTGGAATCTGGCTCCTCTACTACACTCTTCCACAGTCCGAATGTGCTCACCTGATGTCCTACCTCTTGGGCCTGGGTTCATCATCTTTCCTGCTTTGCTTCTCTACTGCATACGTAGCAAGAAAACTGTCCTTCCTGAGCCAGGTGACATTTCTGCAGCCACCGACTGTACACCTCCTGGCTGATGCCCACGGTGCTCTGTGTGCTCCTTACCTCATTCCTCACCTTCTTCACACCCCACTGCCGTCTCCTTGGCCTTCATGTACTCTCCTGCATCTGCCCGCTTGCCTACGCCCTGTACTCACAGCCTGTGAACCTGGACTGTGATTTCCTCCAGGGACACGCAAACCTCGTTACTGGTAACCTTTCCTGTTTCCTTTGGGACCCCTTTGTTGCACATTCTTGGGGCACAGCCCTTGGGGAGCCTCGTCCTCTGATTCCCCTACCTCTTCCTCATCATCAGTCTGGGTCAGTGGTTCCCACCGTTCACAGTGGGGCAATTTGGATTTAACGGGGGCGATTTCAAACGAGTTGATAAGAGTGAATTTCTTGTATTTCTTAAGCTTCTAGGAGCTTCATATACTAGTACAGTAGAGAGAGATCTTTTGTGACATATGTATGCACTTCAGTTCTCTGTTATAGGTTTCGTTTTTATTTTTTTTGTTTTTTTTATCGTTTAAAGTCTTACAAATACTAGTACATCTGTGTCCTTTTTCCCCCCCAATTGACCTACCCCCAGCCTCCCCTACCCCCCGGCATCTGTTATATGTTTAAAAGTTTATTTGCTATTTTTTGATATCACTTCAATTGTTATTTTTGGGCAATTTCTGGGTTATTTCTTCCTCAGTATTTCAACTGTCCTGTTGTCCTTTTATTTTTCTCTTTCATGGATGCCATCTTCTTTGGAAGCTTGTTTAGACCAAGTTAGTGGCCTTTTAGGTGTCCTCCACATGAATCGGAGTTCACTTTTTGAATAATGGGAATTATATGCCACGGGCCGGGGGAAGCATCAGGATTTTAGAGATGCTTAGGTGGGGCATGGGCAAAAAAAGGTTGGGAGCCACTGCTCTGGGTCTTTGGCCTTCAGCCCTCCCTCTTGCCCCTGTGCCTGCTAAGCCATGCCTGACACCTTGGTGCTCAGTCTCGCTCTGCACAGAGCCCTGGGTCTAGCTGTCCGCCCCTCTTCTCTCCTTCCTCTGCCAGCCATCGTCTGTCTGCCAGATCATCTCCTGTCCCAGCTGGGCCTTGCTTCTGCTCTACCGCCCTTCAGGTGCTCTCTGATCACATCAGTCCACCCTACATTTCCCCGTTGGTCACTCCTGTCTCCGTCAGCCCTCCTCCTCAAGAGCCCTCAGTTCCAGGACCAAACCTTGGTGCTCTGCTCCCTACTCACTCAAGGTGAATCCCAGGGTGCCACCCTCTGTCCTTCCAGGTGATTTCTCAGCTACATCCCTTTGCTTGCTTTGCTGTCTGCCTGGTCCAGGGTCCCTTAACCCCATTCTGACCTTCTTGAGTCTCATGCCTCCACCTCCTCATCTGCTCATGCTTCGCCTCTCTGCCCAGCTCTCCTCTCTGCCCCTTCCACCCAGTGATTCTCACCCGAGGGTGCATGACCCCCCAAGGAGGCCTATCAGCAACATCTTTGGGGTGTGTTTTTGTGTTTTCTTTTGATTTTTTTTGGTTTTGTTGTTTCAAGCAGTGTACTGCTCTCCCTTCAGATGGTGTGATAAGACCTCCCTTGGGGGTCGTGCCCACCCCCCCCCTCGGGTGAAACTCACCCCCCCCAACCCCCGGGAAGAATCACTGCTGTGGAAGCCCAACCTGACTCCTGGGCTGCACTCAACCACCCGCCCCTCGAGCCTTCTACTGGTTGCCATTGACACATTTT